CCAGAGGGTATCCTCCTAGAAGCTCTTCCTGACCAATGGGGACCAGAAGGCAAACACTCTCTCAGAACCCTGGTTCATGTGAACAAGGAATAAACAATGGCCATACCCCACTTTAGTGTGTCATCTTCTGGAATACAGTGACGTTTTTCTGGGACAGCTTTGAAAACTATGATCTTTCTGTTGGTCTTCATCCTCTAGTGCATAAGATCAGTCATTTCAATCCTATTTAAATCCCACCTCTTTCATCCACTATACTACTCCCTTCCTTTTCCCCATCCCCCAACCTCAGACCTGGTACTGGTGTGTGTAAGACCCAGGGGGCGGGGAAGGGGAAAGGCCAGTTTTTAAGTTCCACACTCCTAGGTTAATGTGACTCAATGAGTGATTTAAAAACAAACTCTGTGTGGCTTGCTTGTCATATCAGAACACACATTTCTATTCTTCCAATATCCTGTCAGGCAGGGATTATTACTTGCCTCCTCCATGGAAGTAATAATAACGAATACTTATTGACTACATACTTTGTACTAAATACTATCCCAAGTATTTTACATGGATGATTGTATACAATTCTCATAAAACACTGATGGGTAAGTACCGTTATCATCCCTAATAAACAGATGAGGATAACAAGCCGCACAGAGGATGCATTGACTTCAAAGTCACAGAACTGTCTGCTCTTTCTGTTGGACTGGGCTTCCTTTTAATAGAGCCTGTGACTACTGTTGGGGTGGGCAATCCCCAATCTTTGAGAGCAGGATTGTTTTCTGGAAAGAATCTTAAGTGGTAGATTCAGGGAGTAGGAGATTGAGTTGGTACCATGTTTGGGAAAACAGCTGATGTGGCCTCAGGGAAGGGGTCCCTGAAGGGTTTTAGCCTTACAGGCCCTTTGGAACTGTTTATGGCTTCTTAATGCTCAGAGATTACATCCACTAGACAAGGTCACTCACCTAGTGGCAGGACAGAAATAATAGCTCAGAGCTCCCAAATCCCATCCCAGGGCTATGTCTCCCAGTAATGCAAGGGATTAAATATCATCCTCTCTAGGACACTATACTACCTGCGGTAAAAAAGAAGGAATTCTTACCATTTGTAACAGCATGGATAGAACCGGAGAGCATTGTGCTAAGTGAAATAAGCCAGTCAGAGAAAGATAAATACCATATGATCTCACTCATTTGTGGAATATAGAGAACAACATAGACTGATGAACAGGGACAGATCCAAAGACAGAGAAACAGC